GTGACTTAATGAATCCCGGAGCTCGAAATAAAATAGAATATTAAAATATAGCTTAATAAAGACTTAGTGAGCAACTTTGTAAGGGAATTCTTGTAAATTGCTGTTGAAAAATATTTAATATTCAAAAGCGTTCGCAACAGGAAAGTGAATACAGATTGACTGTATTCAGTATCGCGTTGTATTATCTCTGATTTCTGAGTATTGGGCTTTGTTTACTTAATTTGTTTAAAATAGGCTACGGTATAAGCAGGTTTTGTGTATTGGCATTTATAATTACTTCTATGAATTGGTACGATGGGGCAATGGCCTTAAATTGTTTTATTTTTCATTTTGCAACATAGAATGGTATAGTTGCTGACGGATCATCTGATAAATAGTAAAATTATGATCCAATTAATCCAAGTTATTTTGATTTAAAAACTAAACTGCGTAAGTATGTAAATTCTTTTAAATAAAGATATAATTTTCCAAATCGGTTATGAGGTAATAAACATCAAAAAAATACAACCAAATTAAGGACTTCTTCCTTTATTTTGAAGTCGGTAGAATGTAAACAAATCTGACTGACAAACAGGCCTACCCCTAATTATGTGGAATTTTAAAAGTTCTGCAAAATATGGACTTGTTGATCCCGATATCACTACAACTAATAAACAATGTCTCTGACCACCTCATTAGGCATTACAGTCATAAGCATATTTATTTTATTTAATACAAAACTGTACGCGGAAGCTGGTAGACGTAAATTTTCTGATTACCTCTCACACCTATTCGCGCCTAAAGGATCGATCGCACCGAACAAAAGTAGATCACGGCGCACCGTATCATCGCGTTTCGTTTTTGTATTTTAATTTGATTAAATTTTTAATTTGATTTCGCTCAAGAGATACTTAGATTTTTCAAACGGAGCGAAATTAAAGAGGAGTGAGTGATCGTGCACGGTATATCTTATTGCGTCATTGAAATTTGACAGAGGTCGAAGATCTTTCGAATTTCTCCATGGACCCACTGTGATTTTTTGAAAATTTAAATATATAATTCTAGATTTCAAATCATTCAATAAATTGACGTGTAAAAAAATTTAAAATTTCAAATTTAGAATTCAAGCCATTCAATGCAATTGCCATTGCACTTCGGCTTTATAGAGTGTCATATATGTTTTATTGCAACTTAAAAAACTATTAACGTAAGTTTACAAGTATTGGATTCTTTTTTATCGTTAGCTTGTCGCTTTATATGGATTTCGATTACTGTTTTCGATTCTGTCAATTTTAAAATCCAGAATTTTTGTAGTAAGTTGTTGGTAATTTCTAAGTTTTGTCATACTGTTTTGCCTATGCCTCATTACACGTTATGGGTAATTGTAAATGTAGTGAGCAATTTATAAATCATTAATTAAATACTGGTCGAATTTACTGACTTTAGTCTCTCTCTCTGGAGGTCGTCTTCTGCCTCTTTTTTGCTCATATAGGAGCAAAGATTTTCTGACCACATGCTCCTTATATTCCCGCATGGGGGAAAAAGATAGTTCGTAATACAGTCTAACTTAATTGCTAGTTAATTGCTAACAATCTTGTCCAGTCGATCTCTCAGTAACTTTCTCTGGTAACCATCGTACTGAATTATCACGATAGGCTAACTGATCTACCTTTTGATTCTCACCTATCATCCCTCACTAGAATATACAGTCAGTGTAGGCGAGATTATAATTTCATTCATCATCGTTACTTTGCCTTCTCCCATTTATTTGAGGTCGTCGCAATGTATCTTCTTCTTCCACAAATTCCTGTTACTTGTAATTTTTGGACTCATCGTCTTTTATGCATATCATCTTGCACGAGTTACAATTCCATTATCAACCATTAAAAGAAAAATCAAGAAAAATCCTTCCGTTTTATATGAACATACCATTTAAGACGACTTCCTGTGAGTTTCACTAATATGTTATGGAATCAACTTGGAAACTACTACGAATCAATATATTAATAGTCGCAACTGTTGGCACTTAGTGGAACTTAGTACACATAGTGATATTATTAGAAACACACTTATACTCTTTCAATAAAATATTTTATAATTATTATAATATTTGATTGGTTTGGATATTTTAAAGGTTAATTTTGAAATAGTTTTTTCCAGATAATTAATTGAAGGATTATATTTCCTTTCTTTCCTGTGGGAGTCATACGTGTGTTAACAGCTGACATGATGATGATGATCATGATGAACTTCATCATCATGTACTACACAAATATACAAAAATATAAATACATACCTACTTACAACCCAAAGTTTTTAAATATCTAAAGAATTAAGTATGCTAACTAGACAAATAAACAAATTAAGAAGGTAACAACTTACTCAAATACAAGTCCTTAAATTTTGTTTTAAAACTCGGCAGACATTGTATATTTTGTACAAAAACTGGCAAACCATTGTAGCTTGTACGGTGAACGATTTGTCTTAAAAAAAAAAAGAAAAATGTGATTTAAGAGAATTGACGGAATGCAGGAAGTTAAACCACTCCTATAGGTCGCTAGGTGAAGAAAAGTTAAAAAGGATATTGTGGAGATCTAAAAGAATGTGAGTATTCTGGCAAAAACGAATGGGAAGCCACTTGAGCTTAGCGCGAAACTGATAACTATGATCATATTTCCTAAGACCTAAAATAAACCTGATAAAAACATTCTGAAAAACAAACGAACTGATCTTCCATAAGATCTAGATAATCAGCATGATCAAGTATTGGAAATAAATGGGACTGAGATAGTTTAATTTCGGTAACTAGCTTGAGGTCCAGGCGATCAGTAACACCAGAGGAAAAGTAAAGAAGAAAAAAGAACAGACAAGAAAAGCAACACAATACACTGTTCTATGCCTATAGTACCGCTCATAAATTGTCATTATTTTGGGCAATAAGACACCACGCTTCCTTAGCCAGTAATGTCACTGAAATATTTTTTCCTTCAAAGACAGCCATATAAATAGAAAGTGAAATACAATTTTTTTCACCTAAATTTCTAACACCATTCATGCTACCCTATTCTTGAACAAGTTAGTAGAATAACATTTAATAATCAGTAAGAAACTAGAATGAAATAATAACAAGTCACTTCATTTAATTGATATTTTAGAATAATAAATTCGTTACTTAGTCACTCACCCGTTTTAAATCCAATTACAGTATATAAATCTTACTCACGCGAGGGAGTCTGATATTCTACAATAAATAAGGACGTCACCTCCGGCGCTATTAGACAATCAAATCGATCGATTCAAAGTTGAGTTGTGTACGTTGTAAATTGTATTGGATGAATTAAACGTTATAATCCCATCACTACGGTGCTACGGTTCGAATATTTGAAGGAAGGTTGAAATTAAATATTATTTTAATTTGCGAAACAGAGCCTCGACAAGAAGCTGCGAAGGAAACTCGAATTTACGTGACTGGCTGTAAATCTATTATTTTGAATTAAGAACTCTGTATTTTAAATTTGGTTCTAAGACATATTAATTAGTGTGCTATATTTTTTTTATGCAACTTTTAACGGCAATTAGTGGCAAACAATCTAACGGCTCACCTGATGGAAAGTAATAACTCCTATAAATATGAACAGTACCATGGATATACTTTGACATATTCCTTAGGATTACGGTGTTATCCCTTCGTATCTTGTAATCTTACTGTCATATCGATACATATATGTATAACACGAATGGGAGAGACGTGGCCAACCAGACGAATTTTGTTGATTGTTGTTGAAATTATTTCTCTGGTATTTGATAGAATATTGACGTTAAAGTTTATATTAAATTGTGTATCTGATTTCAACAAGTATCTGTGAGAAAACTAAATTTTTCGTAATTTACTGTAAATCTTTTCTTTTTAAATAAAGAAAGATGTTGTATTTTATATTTCGATCTAAAACAAATTGATTTCTGTGTTTTAAATATAATAATTACCTATTTAACTTGCATGTAATTTATTCGAGAATGCTCGCGTAACTAAGTTCATGCTCGCGTCATTGCTGCTAAAGACTAAGAATATACAGACATAGAATAGACCACCCCTTGCTTTCCCATGGGTGTTGTAAGGGGTGACTAGGAAGTATATAGCCGAGCGATGCAGCAGCAACGACCCTATTAAAACGTCACCAAAAGCCAAAACTGCTGTTGCCAACTTGCGTGCCAAACGTGGCAACTAGTGGCAAAACCTTCTTATGGGGGAAGCTATATTCAGCAGCGGACAATTAACGGCTGATACATGATATGACATAAATAAATAAGATATTGAAATTAAATGTTGTTTCCTATAGCTGAACTGATCTTTAAGGAGAAAGCTTCTATTGTGATTGACTGAGTTTATTATTCTTTTTGTATCTAAAAAATGATATTGACATTAAAGATAATTTTTTTTATACAACTTAGAATGCTTTATACAGCTTAGAATACAACTGCTTCACGGTTGACACACGAATGGGATGGAGGTACTCAAGCAATCGACTTTTGAACAAAGTCTCCCTCTGGTAAAATTACATAAATGAATTTAAAAATTCGCATTCAGGAAGTTCAAATATTCGTGACTGACTGTACTTACACCTTTTTTTTTTAATGTAATTCGCGGTTCGTGGAACTAGTGCTGACGATCTGTATATAAGCGCCTCGAAGTTGAACTATCCCAGGCATTTGCTAACTAAAGTTTGTGCACTAAACATAAAAATAATATATGTTTACAGTAACAAGTTAGCGTTACGATTTAAATATAATAAAAACAATATAAAATACATTTTGCTTTAATTATTTCACGCGTCCAAATAATAGTTTTAGGGTGGGAGCGGATAGAATTTTTAACAGAATCAGCATTATAGTCAAGTAGATAGGAAAACAGAAAAATAGTCGGCCCGATTCTATCTTATGGAGGGTAGAGGGTAACTCGCCTGCGCGGCGCCGTGCCCCTCCCCCGCGCCCCTCCCGCACCCCGCACTCAGTCATAACCGACCCTTGCGGGGGAGACGTCGTTCTATAATATTTTTTCCGCTTGTAAACCAAAAAAATAAACGCAAGTGATCGCAATACAAACCGTGTTTCATAACACAAGTGTTAAGTGTTAACTCGAAGTGTAGTGTGGTGTCCGTGATAGTGAAGGTTGCACTTATGATTTACAATTGAAGTGGATTCGACGATGTGCATCACGTAAGTGTTTTGTATACTTATGTAATGGTGTATTTTTGATTATATATTTCATATATATATACTTCCTTATATATATAACTCAAACTTATATACATTACGTTACTTGTATCAACTATGAATGAAAAAGAGACAAATGCAATCTGAACTGTAATAAAATAAACAATATTTATCACCAAATAATATATGGAAACGAAGATTCACTAGTATCTGATATATTTTTATCGACATATAGCTATATAATGTATAAATATAAAGTGCATTTTGTATACACAAATGAACAATTTATTTACTTACAATTTTAACAATTCCAAAATCTATTCTGTTGACGACTACCTGAAGGATAAATTAATATAACATCTGCCTTTCTCCCCAGGTTATTATACCTAATAAGGCACATATTGTGTTGTTTTTTGTAATGTATAGAATATATTTTATTACAATATGCAATGCAACTATAATAAACAAAATAAAATATATATAAAAAAATATAAATAAACAAAAGATTTAATAAGATATTTGAATTTATTTTGATATTTTTTTTTATTTATTTAATCGACTAAAAAGCTTTACAGTTGCCCAATATGTTTTACCTAAGAATGTATTAGTACAAGAATAAATACTGTAATAAAGTTAACAAATACGAACAATATTATGATAGATGAATATGAAGCAATATATACCAACGTGATATAGGAAATAATATATAATAATGATAGAAATAAAATTATATATCCATATATGTACCATAATGGCCAGCTAAAGACAATCGAAGCGGCTTAGAAATATCTGGAGTCGTGTTAAATACCGGTAATATAATTGTATATGAAAGCACTATTTTTATATATATTTATATATATATGTATATATATATATATATATATATATATATATATATATATATATATATATATATATATATATATTTATTAATATTGATTTAGTTTTTGCTGTTATAATGTTATAGATAGATAGATACTCTTTATTGTTTCCTCCAAAAGATTACAATAGTAAACATATTATAAATATAAACAATTACATATATATAATTATTTTAATAAATAAATAATTTAATTAATTGAATATTAGCATGCCATGGTCGTTATATAATAAATATATATGTTTATATATATATATAAGTATAATATGGTCATAACTGTAATTTCAAATGGGGTATTCAGAGGATGACGTTAATGACGCATTGTTGGTCCATATTCGACTGATAATTTGGAATTCAGATAGAGTTTTACTGAAAAAAAAAAAATCAGTAGGGTTATCAACATTTAATTGAATTTATTAACAATATCTACCATTACTAGATAGTTAATTTATTTAGGCCAGATTAAAACTGACAACCGTTGTGTGTTATTTCAGTCGGAATAGTGAATCACTACTCCGCGGTCTATTTATCATTTATTTATAAGTATACTAGCTCTATCCCGTGGTTTTTCCCTCGTAAATCGCTGTACCATGATGTACTAATGATTTATTTATTATATACTAACAGTATCGCGCTGTTTCGTCCGCGTGAATCCAGGACATAAAATATCCTATGTGCTAAATTGGGATATAACCTACTCGTGTACCAAATTAAATTTATGAAGTTTAGAAGTTTTTGCATGAAAGGGAACCAAACAACCATTCATCCTTCCGCCTTAATATCATACCTTCGAATTTCCGAGTAGGTATACCCGTAATATTAATAGGATCTTTAGAAAGAGAAAAAAAACGGTACAAAAGTTCTAAATCAGTATTTCGGACTGTTAGGGCTCAGCCAACATGTTGACAACTGCAACATGAAAACACTGAAAATTAATTACTTTCATTTTATTATATATACTGAAATATTATTAGTTAACGTTTTATTTAATATTGCACCGGGTTTAAACCCGGTGCTTTGCCCATCTGTAGATATAACTTTTTGTACCCGTAATATTAATAGGATCTTTAGAAAGAGACGGTACAAAAGTCATATGCGTGGGCACCTCTGTCCCACTCCTAAAACACGGCTATAGAACTGCTTAGTGCCAGAAGCCATTTAATTAACAGAATCCTAAATAAATGTAAGTAATTAACATTGCGTTATATAGAAAAAAAGGGGGGTAAAGAGGTTTCTTCAGGGTCGGCAACGCGCGCGTAATACCTCTGGTATTGCAGGCGTTCATAGGCTACGGTAACCGCTTACCATCAGGTGGGCCGTATGCTTGTTTGCCACCACAGTGCTATAAAAAAAACTGTTTTCAATTGTGGCAAACCCAGGTATTGTGTTTTGAAAACAAAATTACTGAACCATTTTTAATAAAACTTCTGTAGAACCAATCTGTAAGTATATCCTTTTAAAACAAAAAGTTTTTTTTCAAATCGGTTTACAATTACTGGAGTTATGAGAAAACAAACATTTAAAAAAACAACCGAATAGAGAACATTGTTCTTGTTGAAAATAGGATTCATTTTTAATCATTTATGTTAAAGATTGTAAAGGTGTTTGAATGTTTATTACTCGATTACTCTTAAAAAGATTTTAGTTAAATTTATTGATACTTGCTTGTACCCGCGACTCTTCCCACTGAGTCGGATTACATTTCTGAACTGGGGTTAAAAATAGCCTATAATCTTTTCCATGTCAAATTATACGTGTATACTAAATTTCGTAATGATTGGTTAAATCGTTAAGATGCCAAGTAACAAACATATATACTTACACATTTATAATACTAACGAAATCCCATGACTTTTCCTTCTTCGCAGTCCCTAACCGCTTTACTCTTCTGCCGCTCTCTATAAGTCGTTTTCAATCATTTTTACACAGTGTAATGCAACTGCATGATTGATGTGCTTTCATAGACGCCCTGCGACATCTCTAACGGCCAGTGATCGGTCGTCCCTCAAATTGGAGACCGGTAGACAGCAGAGCTCGCCAGTTCGGAGGCCGACCACATACTCATTTGTTGCAGTATCCGGCCGTTCGTTTACCTTTGCGTCCACCAAGTACCCTCCGTTCTCCGGCATTCCGCCACCCGTATCCAATAGCGAGGACGGGATACCTTAAATACTGTACCGCAAACCATAAAAAAAATCCCATGACTTTACGTACGTAAAGTTATTTTATATTCTAAGTTAAGGTATAGGTTCGGATAACTTACAACATTGAAATCCGTTTAGTAAATTTTGTATGAAAGATTCACAAATATGCATGCATATATGTATGTTGTTATCTCTCATAAATATTTATATAATTTACGAGTTTTTATATACCGCCATTTACTCTCTCTCTCTGTTTAGCGTAACGGTTGACTGGTAGAGAATACCATCAGGCATTAAATCCGCCCTGTAGACATATTTTAATGTGTATAAAAGTATAAATAAATAAATATAGATGCACCCTCATAAAGTTTCCTATCTAACGTTCTCGTTTGGTATTTTTTGTGTGACAAAGTAACAAATATCCATGCGTATAATAACATCTTCGCAAACATCCCTTTATTATGATCAGTAAAGAAGAATATATACACGCAATGCCGCGGGACACAACTAGTATTATATACGATCCAATCGCAAAGAAAAATCATTTCCTTTTTAATAATACCGATTATACATCTTTATAATAATTCACTTACGGGCTACGCAAAACCCCATAGGTGTTTTATTCTTTGTAATTCCCGGCTATGTAGCGATTAGGGAACGGATAGGAACAGATCTCGGCAATAAATGAAAAGGTTCCACTAAACAATAGGGAAAGGATAACTTTGGCATGATGGGTTTGTTTTCTTTGCTTTTCTCCTATTTCTTAACCAATATTTTTGCTATGTGAAACCGGCTTAGAATAGACCACCCCTTAATTCCACCTTAGAGCGACTAAAGGAGGGCGAGGATTAAGCAGGAGGGTCCCTCTTAAAACATCCTGCCAATCGTGGCAACTAATGGCGAAACCCCCTAAAGGGGATATCTTATGTTCAGCAGCGGATAATTAAAGACTGATATAATGATGGCAAAAGAAAAAAAAGAAGCTTGAGGCATTCGAAATGTGAACATGGAGGAGAATAGAAGGAATAAACTGGGCAGAAAAGCTATCGAATGAGTCCTGTCCTGAAAAGGGTGAATGAGAAACGAACATTAATAAAAATAATAGAGAATAAAAGAGGCGAAATACTGGGCCATCTTATACGACATGATAATTTTTTAAAGAACATAGTAGAAGGAAAAGTAGAGGGCAAAAAAAAGAAGAGGAAGACCGAGGAATAACTACATGGGACAGATAAAAGAAACACTAAGTATCATGTCGTATAGAGAGGTCAAGAATATGGTCTGTGATAAAACTGGCTGGACGAAGATGCATGAATAAGGTAGTAGCACCGACAAGAGGAAACCCTTAAAGGAAAAGAAGACAATGATGATGGTTATTAGTTATCATTAAGAAATTTTTCAATATTTTAATAATTTTAAGTAATTTTAAACATTCCCGTTGTTTATACATATTTTAAACACACAATCGGGATTTAACGCAATGTAAAAGCTTTTACAGGTAAATAGTACCTACATAACTGCTTCTTTATTGCCGACGTTTCGACGTGGATTACACCACGTCGTGGTCACGACAGGACTGAAGTGAGCGGCGTCTTCGTCTGCCAGCTCGTGCATTCTACCACTAGGTATTAATGTATTTACCTGTAAAAGCTTTTACATCGCGTTAAGATCCGAATGTGTATTTAAAACATGTAATAATTTTCTCTTTATAAATATTTTTTCATAGTAATTTTATACTCTATTCTATTGTCGATTAGTTTTATTCTCATATGTATTCACACAATACGCTGTTTTCTATTTGTTGAACAAATTAATCATTTATTAAATTATTGTGATTATGGGTGAGGCTTTGTATAATTGATGAATAAAATAACTAAATTCAATTTAAAACAAGAAACGAATCTACTTGAAAATCTAATGAATATAAATTTTGACGAATAAATCACGAGGTGCGGACTGCTGCCATCCGAGAGGGCAGT